ATGTAACACTTTCTTTTGTGACTGGGACGGCGGGGATTGTTCTCTTACATCAAAAAACCCCTGGGCTCAATGTTCACAATGTTGGAGTGTCTTTAACAACAGCCAGTGTGATGAGTCCTGCAACAACGCTGATTGTCTGTATGACAACTTTGACTGCATGAACAAGGAGAAAGTTTGCAAGTAAGTTTACTTTTACTCTTAATTTGATTCCCTCGTTTTTTCTGTACTTATCCGAGAAATCTCAAGCTGATTATTTTCTTTGTGTCGTCTCCAGTCCAGTGTATGAAGCCTACTGTATAGACCACTACGCTAATGGAGAGTGTGACCCCGGCTGTAACTCAGTGGAGTGTGGCTGGGATGGTTTGGACTGTGCAAAGAAGGTTCCAGAAGTCCTTGCTGACGGTGTCTTGATTTTGGTAGTCCTACTTCCCCCCGAGGAGCTTCAACGCACCAGCACAGCTTTTCTGCAGAAATTAAGTGCTATCCTACACACCTCACTGCGATTCCAGCTGGACGGGAATGGAGATGCCAAGATCCACCCATACACTCGCGGGGCACGCCTCAAGCGGGAGCTGCAGCCTAAACAGGAGGTCATCGGGTCAGTCAGACATACAGTAAACATAAAATATTGTGTTTTTCTTATACATTGAACATTACACTAAATACCTGCCTGTCTGCTATTTTTGTAGATCCATAGTGTACTTGGAAATAGACAACCGTCTGTGCGCCGCTCAGAGCTCTGAGGGCTGTTTCCCGTCAGCTGAAAGAGCTGCAGACTACCTGGGAGCTCTGTCAGCTGTAGAAATGCTTCGTTTCCCATACCCAATCAAAGAAGCCGTTGGTGAGTAGGGATACTTAATGGCCACAATTTAAACTTGTAAGACAAAGAAAGTACAGGCGTGCTAACTAGTTTCTCTTGTCATGACAGGTGTTGAAAGGGATCCCCCTCCTGACCCAATACCTCAATGGGCCAAGCTGATGCTGGTTGGGTTAGCTTCCCTTTTCCTTATGGTCATCCTGGTGCTAGGAATGTTGATTGCTCGTAGAAAGAGAGAACACAGTACCCTTTGGTTCCCTGAGGGCTTCTTCTTAAAGAAGGAACCCAGCAGCAACAAAAACCGCAGGGAACCTGTGGGTCAGGATGCTCTTGGAATGAAGTAAGTTATTTGTTTGCAATTATGTGGTATTATAAGGTCTGAATTTCATAAGCAATTTAAGTGGGAATTCTGTAAGGGGTTTACTTTGAAATTGTATTGGTTTTCTTTGTGTCTTACTTTGTTTACCATATTTGTCCTTTAACAGACACATGGCAAAAACTGCGGAAGAATCTCTCCTTGGTGATCACAGTGACCAGTGGATGGACACAGACTGTCCAGAGGCAAAAAGGCTTAAGGTCAGTTACACATTGTCTTAACATTTAAAAATGGCAATTTACTTAGACGCAAGCACACACATGTGTACATACAATTTATCACAGGATGTCAGCTTGTGTTGAAGCTTGAATTAAATATTGAAATTAAATTCTCTCCTTCTGTGAGTTCAGGTTGAGGAGCCAAGTATGCTCTCAGACAGTGAAGATGCAGTGGACTGCAGGCAGTGGACACAGCATCACCTCGCAGCTGCAGATATTCGTGTGCCTCCCACTATGGCCCTCACCCCACCCCAAGGAGAATTTGAAAGTGACTGCATGGATGTTAATGTCCGAGGCCCAGGTTGGTAACTTTAAGATTAATTATCTGTTATTTTGAACTCTTGAACAGATACAATCTAAACCACTGTTTTCATCTCATACCAGATGGTTTTACACCTCTGATGCTGGCATCATTCTGTGGAGGCGGCTTAGAGCCTGAGGTGACAGAGGAGGAGGAGAGTGAGGAGTGTTCTGCCAACATCATCTCTGACCTAATCTACCAGGGAGCTTCCCTAGCTGCCCAAACCGACCGAACTGGGGAGACAGCGCTCCACCTGGCTGCTCGCTACGCCCGTGCTGATGCTGCTAAGAGGCTGCTGGATGCTGGTGCAGATGCTAATGCTCAGGATAACACCGGTCGCTCACCTCTACATGCTGCAGTGGCCGCAGATGCACAGGGGGTCTTCCAGGTAAACAACATGCACTTTTTACTGGCGGTGTTAGAAATGCCTATAACAAATGTAAGCATATGTATTGCGTAAATCATAATAGTTAACCCTCCAAAAAAACGTCATCCTCCTAGATTCTGATCCGAAATCGGGCTACAGATCTTGACTCCCGTATGTACGATGGCTCCACTGCGCTGATCCTGGCAGCACGACTGGCAGTAGAGGGCATGGTAGAAGAACTCATCACTTGTCATGCTGATGTCAATGCAGTAGATGAATTGGGTAAGTTTGTAACTCTTCTCTGAAGTGGGTGTCTTGATGCTGTTGTTTCTGTTTTGTAATAATATTCACTGAAAGCATGGATATGTAATCTCAATGTTTGTTTTATGTTTTAGGTAAATCCGCCTTGCACTGGGCTGCAGCCGTTAACAATGTGGAGGCGACTGTTGCCCTGCTGAAGAACAGTGCAAACAAGGACATGCAGGATCTCAAGGTATGACATCCATGTTTAATGTTAACCACACTTTTGGATCAGCGAGGCTTCAAAATAAAATCTGTTTGTATCTAACAACCTCTTTGTTTTGTTGCCTTGTTTTTCTTTGTAGGAGGAGACCCCACTGTTCCTTGCAGCTCGTGAGGGCAGCTGTGAGGCTGTGAAGGTTCTGCTGGCTCACTTTGCAAACAGAGAGATCACAGACCATATGGACAGGTTGCCACGGGACATTGCTCAGGAGCGTATGCACCACGATATTGTGCAGCTTCTTGATGAGTACAACACAGTAAGAAGCCCCCAGGGCCATGGAGGGATTGGACACCACCTCTCTGGGGTACACTCTCTGTCTCCTCTCATGTGCCCTCCGGGCGCCTACATGCCTAGTCTGAAGAACACCCCACAGGGCAAGAAGAACCGCAGGCCTTGTGCTAAGGGTTCTAGCCTGGGAGGCCAACATGCTGCCAGCCTGAAGGAGTCAGTCAAGGCCCGTAATAAAAAGCTGACCTTGGACATGCAGAGTGCCTTACTGGAGAGCTCTGTTACCCTTTCCCCGGTCGATTCACTGGACTCACCCCACGGGGGGGCTAGCAATGCTGGCTACATGACCAACCCCACTTCCCCTGTGGCAATGCAGTCACCAGGGCTCTACCACACATCTATGTCTGTCCCAAACACCCCCATGATACATAGTAGCATGTTGGATGGTAGTGGCCCCTTTGCAGTGTCTCTAGCCCAACTCAATGAGCTAGGATCTGGAGGAATGTCCTTGCAGGGACGTGTCTCCATGGCTTCAGATGTAAACCATGGCTATGTGATGAGTTCAGGCCAGATGGGGCTCAACATGGGCTTGGTCAGTCCTGTGAGTGTGCCCTTTGACTGGCACAGCCGGATGTCTTCCTCTCAGTGTGGTCAGCAGGTTTTGAATCTTGTGCAGAGTGGCCAGGCAGGCATGCACCCCCAGAGCCCAGCCATGCAGCAGCAGACCATGCTGATGCACCAGCAGCTCTACCGTAACGCCATGCTGCAGCCCACACCTGTTACTTCAACACCCACCATCAGCCCAGTCAAGCTGCCCTCCATTGCTGAGCAGCAGCAGCAGCAGCAACAGCAGCAGCAGCAGCTTCTCAACCACACCATCGCCAACCAGCAGAACATGGCCCGCATTGGCACCTCTTCCCCACCGACTCCTCAGACCTCCCAGCCGCCACCATCCTTCTTCCAGCAGCAGCAGATGCCCCAGCAACCCTCTCAGCCCCAGCTTCCAGCTCAGCCCCCCCAGGCAGCCCCCCCAGCAGCCCAGCCCTCTCAGGCTCTGCCCTCCCAGCATAGTGGCAGCACTGCAGGAACGGAGGATTACCCTACACCTCCCTCTCAGCACAGCTACTCATCTGCACTAGATGCCACGCCCAAGCATTACCTCCATTTGCCCAGTGAGCACCCCTACCTGACCCCCTCCCCAGAGTCTCCAGAGCCCTGGTCCAGCCCCTCTCCTCACTGCGTCTCTGATTGGTCAGATTCTACACCAAGCCCAGCAGTAGCTGGCCCTGCCCAGACCCAAATTTCTCAAATCCCAGAGGCAAATGGCAAGATGCAGGTGTTTGCGTAAAGATCTCATGGCCCCTGCTTGAAAAGGGACCTGAGGTAAAATAATGTGTGGACTGGCTCTCGGGCCTGTCTGTTTATATGTGTCGGCCTGTTTCCAAGATTTTCATTGGATTTGGATTGACTATGCTTATCACAAGGAGCGTCTGCTAGTGATTTTTGCAGAGAAAAAAGTAAAGGGAAATGTGTGTTGTCTGAAAAAACAGCAGACAATTTAATGAAGTAATTCTGTCACAGATGGACTTGTTTTTTATTATAAAAAAGTATATGAAGAAAACCAAGTCTTTCATTTCAAAGGCTTAGGTGTGCTCTCCTGGAAACTAACAAACGTTTAAAAAGTAGATATGAGAAAAAAGTAAAATGTTGAAGGGAATTCATTTATTTTTATTTATTGTTTTTATCTCTGAATTACTTTTTTCTAAAAGTGTATTTCTGTTCTAGCTTTTCAAATAATGTACCCTCCCCCCCCTATTTTATACTGAATGCCTACATTTCTATTTAGCCAACGTGGCAAGTGATGGTAAAGGAATATAATTCATGTTTCAGACAAGTTAACAGACAGAAAGAGGAACTTTCACCTCTAGTGACTGATATTTATTTAGGCCAACGACACCTGGTAAAGATGAGAAACTGGTTCTTGCAGATATATATTAAAAGTTTCTCAGCAGTAGTGATATATTCTGATTTGATTTAATTGTGGATATTGATTTCTTTCCATGAGTATTATGAATAAGAATGTAGATGAGTGTCTTTGAAGCACTTCAAGTGACCAGCCTCAAAGGGCGAGTGTGGGTCAAATACAACATATAACTGCAATGGATATTTATAATATATGGGTGGCATTTAATACATGGTAATTGTTGCTATGAACTTTCAAAAGTAATTGTAAGAGTACAGGTGTAGGTGTAATCTGTTGTTTCCCACTGCTTCTATGGGACTCTTACCTCCAATGTTACTGTCACCTGTATTGCTTTGCCTTTAAAATCAGCCTCTCACTGCCCTTTAGTTTGTGTTCTTTTTTTTGTTTGTTACGGTCGATTTATACTCTGTTTGTTTGTGAAAACCATGGATACCTTTTCTCAATATCACTTCGGATGTACTAAGCTATGCTTATCAGCTGCTATTTTATATCACTCTTCCCTGCAAGCATTCCTCCATTCTGCCTGTCTTGTTAAGTGTGTACGATGTGCCTTTCAGCAGCATCATCCAACACAGTAGAAACAGACGACTGACAGGCAGAAGTCCACCTAGTGTCCTTTAGTGGACTAAATGGAAACATTCCTTGATTATCTGCAGCAGTGTAGGTCTTGTTGAAACTCTTGCCTGGTCTCTGGTAGTGTCCGTGGTGGAGTAGTGGTCAGTGTGAGGGTGTAACTGCTGGGCTGCGACTGCTGACGCCCTGTCACTCCTCAGGGAGGTGTTTTATGGCATGCAATGGAACGGTTCCCTTGCATCTACAGTAGCTCCCAGTCCAGGGGCAGTGGAGATGCATCTTAAGATGATTGTTAGAAGAGACTGAAGGAAAGAACACTACTATGTAGTGCTGTCCCCTTAAACCTTTTATACAAATCTGAGATGACACTCCCAGTCATCCAGCTGACACCTTGTATTATGTCTGACCGACGCTTTACCCCCACATGACCTGAGATTTATGGATAAAGGTAATCCTCTCCCTAACGTAGTATGGACATTTCAACATAAAGTCAATTGATAATTGTAGCATTTTGAAAAGTAACCATTGCATTTTCATCTTAGGATGTCATAAACAGAAATTAGCAGGCCATCATTCCTAGCTACTACCGTTGATGTGGCCTAACACTGCCCCTAGTTGTGTCATAGAGTTTATCTTTCATTCATTGTTTTATCCTGTTCACCATAGCCTCAGTTACTGTTTTATCAGACCTGGGAAACATGTTGTTGTCCCTATGAACAGTTCACATTTTACTAACAAGAAACTGTTTTGTTTGTTTGTTTTTTATATATAACTGGTCTTTCAATTTCTCTACCAGGTCGCACTAAGTGTTTTGTACATTTCAACCTCCCAACTTCTGTTTGTAAATATGTTTTTTTCTGGGTAGTTCTTATGTTTCTGAAAGGATTGTTATGTACTAAAAAGGACAAAAATAAAATGTACTTCATTTAGCATTATTTGAAACTGAGGCTGTGACTGATATTTTATTGTCTTGTGTTATTAGTCATAGATATTTTATTATCATTATTAATTTCTATACTTGTTTAAAAAGGTAGTTTGAAATACTAAAAGCTAAAAGCTTTCCACGGTGTTCTTTCTACAGTCAAAAGTTGTAAAGTTACTTACAATAAAACTATAGGGAACTACATTTTTTGTGTTCTGGTTTTCAGTGATCAGTTGATCATTAATTCATGGTCGTCATTATAATAGTTATGTAAATAAAACTCAAAATGCAGTTAGATGATTAATTATTTAATATTTTTATAGTCTGAAATGTAACCTTCTCTGTCCAACACAAAAGCCGCACAATAAATGCTGTATTTGGGACTGATGTTAATACACAATGTTTGAAATCCAATTTGAGGCATTTGAGTGCATTATATTCACAAAACATGTTATAATTAATATTTCCGTGATTTGAAACTCCATCGAAAGCTACTGTCTAATATATTGCCACAAAGATGAATGTACACCTATCTGATCTCCAGACAATCGATTACGCCAAATCGTATTTTTTCGAATAATTTGTACACCAAGATTTGTATTCATTTTTTCATAATGATATGATTTTCTCAAGTTTACCTGTAAAAGCCAATAGAAACATTTAAAACAAAACAAATTACATAAAAACAATAAAGGAGGTAAATTAGTTATTGTACATATTTATCATATAAACTTCCTATTAATACATATCATTATCCTACAGTTAAAAGTTATATTTAAAAATCTGTGACAACTGTCTCCTTAGGAATAACTTTTATAACCAACCTGGCCATCAAATCTTTATTTCTTCCCTCCTATTCTCTTCAGTAAGTGCAGCATCGCTAGAGTAGCATTGAACACTTTGTCATGTTTAAAGGTCATCTTATAGAAGGAATCCAGAGGCAGACGTCCAGTGGGATCAGCGTGCTTCAGTGCAGTCATGGGCATGTACAGGCGGTTTGTCTGGTGGCGCAGAGGGGGTTCCTTGTCTGTGATCACTTTAACGGTTTGCTAAAGAAAAGAGACACATATTTTAACACTGGAAGGTACTTCCTCATTATGCATTTGGACTGGCAAAACCACTAATTCTTAATGACTTCTAATCTGAAATAGAAAAATAAAAGTCATCACTTGCCTCAGCTACTTCCTCTGGTGTCTGGCCTAATGAGGCAAAAATCTTTTTAGAGTACGGCAGGTAAATTTCACGAAAGATTTTGGCGGTCTCCTTATCCGTCCCTGAAAGATCCATACTCTCAGCGTCTTCATACACCTTTCTTTCAAACTCTGTAACAACAGGGCCAGGTTCCACTAGAGTCGTCCTTGTGACAGAGATGCAAATAAAAAAGTTACATTACAGTCAATGAGTCATATTGTGATGTTACTTAAGTTTTAGTTGTGGGGTGGCTGCATTATGTTGTTAAAGCTGATACAGTTTTCAAGACTTGTAATGCAATCACTTGATGTTAAACTTCAACGCTTGCACTGCCAGACTTTCGCAAAATCCTTCCACAGCAAATTTGGAGGCTGAATAAACGTCATTGAAAAGAAGTCCTGTGTAGAAACATAAGGACACAAGTTAACAAGCTTCTAATTCTTTTAGCTTCTGTGCAATTTCAGGGACACAAACAGACGCACCCTGTGTTCCCATGACGCTGCTCATCACGACAATATGGCCGCTCTGCCTCCGCTTCATGTCAGGTAAGACCTCTTTCACCAGACGTGCCAGGCCAAAGAAGTTTGTGTCAAAGAGCTCCTTCATGGCATCAATGCTTTGGCACTCCAGAGGTCCAATCATACCAAGACCAGCATTGTTCACTATAACAGCAGAGTATTTAACGTCATACTTTGGAGAGATTAAAAAACGTGTCTATGAGAATGTGAATTAAAGGAGACAGACCAAGAACATCCACCCGTCTGTCCGGCAGGCTGTTGACACACTCTCTGATGGAGGATTCAGAACAGGCATCTAACTGTTTGATTTCCAAGGTTTTGTTTAAGGAGTCACCTGCCGCTTTCTCCAAGGGCCCTCGTTTCCCAAGATCCCTCATTGTGGCAACCACTGCCTCAGATAAAAAATGAAAACACTTTCTGTAAGTAGCTATAGTTCATTCTATCGTCTACTTTTTTTCTTGTTAATGAGAGTGAAAGGCTGACCTTTAAACCGTCTGAGCTCATCTTTGGCCAGCCGTGCAGCCACAGCCAAGCCAATGCCTGAGGAGCAGCCAGTCACCAGCACCCTCCTGGTTCCCATGGCTCTATGACCTCTGAAAGAGAATCCCATCACCATCACCATCATCATCATCATCGTGTACAATCTGGACAATAACATTTTATTTTGTGATTACAATTCAAACATGCCAAGTCAAGTCATTTACTTAATTATTATCATTTTTTTTATCCGATACAAATACACATAGCATCGTAGGCTTAAATTGCACTAAAAGCAGCAGCTTTATTTTACTATGATATAATGACAATAATGTACGTGGAACAATTAGTGTCTCGTTTTTTGTTTATCATCTTTATTTTCAATGTATGATCAGTGAAAACTGGTCCCAAAATAGGTGGTCTTTGTTTTTTTTCCTCTGTGATGTGTTATCAAATCTATATGTTTTAAATTGATGTTTTTGATTTGGCCATTTACCTCACATAAAAAGGAAAACTGAACCACCACAAAGTGCAGTTTTCTAGTACATCTTGTCAAATATATGTAGCTATTTCGGCCCTGAGAGGGAATCACTTGATGTGAAATGCTAACCTTCCACTGTATGGTACCACTAGGGCTACTTTGGTATGTGTTCAGAGATTATATTAACTCTAATCTGATTTACGTATACTGGAATTTTTAGCCGCTACAACGGCAAGCTTAGTGATTCATCCACTGTGGCCTTTCATTCACGCTTGAACCCTTTAACAGCGAAAATCAATGAGTGTGAAGAGTCATGAGATTCACAACACGATAACTAAATATAAAACCTAATAAGTGATGAATGTAATGAATGTTGGAATTTCTCATCTTTAGGTTGTATAAATGTTAAAGTTTATGGGTAGGAAGTTCCAGGTCTATAAGCATTCACGCTGAATTTGTTAGTTTAAGTCTAATAAAATACATTCTAGCTAAGGAACCAAAACCTTTGCATAGCTAATGTGAAACAATATTTAGTGCTATGTCTTTTTATGTGTCCAGTAATGCCAATTGTATAGTAATTCATTAAAAAATGTTCTATTATAGTATAGGCGTATGCCATTACAATTTCATAGTAAGTGGGTCAAAATAGTATAACATATTATTTGTAAAAGGCGTAATAGTCTTAAGCATGTCATAAAATCTCATTCAAAAGTCATTAAGGGTTTTATTTTTTATTTTAAAGTCGTAAGAATGCCAAAGTATGGAATTACATATATTTCACTTAAATGTCATATAATAATTAATAATTATATTTCAAAAATCATAGTAAGTCATAAAAGATAAAAGGTAAAAGTATAGGATCTCTTTAAAAAAAAAAAGTCAGATTATAGTATGTCATAAAGAGAAGTTGTGATATAAAATGGCATAAAAAAAGCCAAAAAAGCCATGATAGTAAATTCTCACCAACAGTAGATTTAAAGTAACAACACAGATGATACAATATACAATAAGGTTGTGATGGGAATATAATGTACTTCAGACAATGTCTACAAAAAGAGTTAAATTCATCAAAGTTCAGAGGCCTGTGGTTCTGCTTTGGTGTTGAAGTCTACCAACCTGTAGAGCGAGCAGCGTCCTCCACAGCAGCGGAAATGGGAAATAAAGACTGTAGGCTACAAAACTAGCTGGTCGATAAATAGTGTTGATGCAGAATTAAGGGAGGAGGAACCCGAGCAAGTCACAGCGGGACAGGAGGCTACATAAACCCAGCGATTAGGCTACTGAAATGGGTCACTCGGCTCAGTATGTGGGAGTTGTAGTTCTTTGAAATTGATTATTTAACCGTTGTAGTTCTCAAAATAGCTAATAACAGAAAGCATTGTTATTATTTATTTATTTTTAATATAAGAAAGAGTAAGTTCACAAATGACTTAATCAAAAAATGTCAATCTTAATTTCATTCATCCATTTGTTACATGACACTGTGTCATTTCGGTTTACTGCGGTTTGATGACAAAGTTTATTAGTAATACAGTACACCGTTAGCATTGGTAACTAAACTGTGTCTATCGCTTTGAACGCATAAAATAAGGTCTGTAGGACTACATTACGGTTTTGAATTGCGTTTTTATTTTATTTTTGAAAGTATTTGCCGGAAGTCTTTTCTGTAGTATCCTAACAAACTTTATTTGCAGTTCTCCATTGTGTCCCCAGGGTAACAGTAAGCCACGAATAAATAGTACACTTTCAACCACACGTAAAGTTAAGCAGACGCCAACATTTACAATAACATTTCTGTTTCTAATAATCAGTCTACCTCAAAACAAATGATCCATTCACAAATGTGTTATGTAAGGGAATCGGATAATGAGTGCAGTGCATTATGCATAACATGGTGAAGGGATTGTTTGTTTTAGTGTTGCAGCTCTTCAATGTGACCACTGGAGGGCACTAAACACACAGGTTACCTGTTATGTCCACAACACCAGATGGATATTTTCGGTAACAACTATCAAAATAAAACAATCAAAAACTGTCGTCGCTGTGAAACAATCACATTACATTTGATTTGTGTTTTCTAGCTAGCTGTACAAGAACCAGGTGAGGTTTGTTATAGTAACTTTAATAACTAACAGTCTAACACCGCTACTGTAAATTCATTTGGCAGGCTACCATTCACACAGGTTTGCTTTACATCTAGCGTGTGTTAAACTGAGAATGCGTGAGAGCTGGTCTGAGGGCGGGCTTACCATGTCCTCCTATATGCTTTCTCATGAGAGCAAATCCTTTCATTCGGTTCTACTCAAGTTACCCCATTCAGTGTTTATGTAGAAGGTTATAATTGTCTCCCTTAAGGAGCTTTAAAATGATTATGCAGCATGTGGACAGGGAAACGTACAGAAAGTGCAACGCTGAAAAGACATAGGCCTACACAAATATTCAATAACTTCCCTTCAAGGTTCTACAAGAAACACATCAAAGGTCTCCTAATGTTAATACTTCTACATTTATGTTGATGGTATAAAGAAAAAATATTTAAAGGAAATAACATCCAATAATATAAATGTCCTGACTTCCAGTGTAGTAGAACAATGCTGTATTCATTAGGAGTCTCTTGGTCACATGACCTGAAAGCTATTATCAAAAAAAGCAAGACTTTTTATTTAGAAAAATGCTGAATTTTAAATCAAATGTTTATTTAAATTGGAAAAATCACTCAAATCCAATTAAAATAGTTATGGCCTAATCGTCCAGCGCCGTACCTGCAAAGGCTGACAAAACACTAAAATACAATTCGTCCAGTGATGTTTCACTTTGTAACATGAAATGGAAGCTATTGAAAATTATACTTTTCAATGAAAGAAGTTATGATAAAAAAATCAGATCAAGTAAAAAAAACATTAAAAATCCAATTCAAAGAGGTTTGTTTTATGGATTTTAGTATTTCCATAACATATTTTATGAAAAATAATCCGTGTATCTACCGTCCAATTGTTTTTCTTTATTAAACACGTAAACGGAAGAGCGTCTGAGAGGCCTTTTTGCTTTTTGCTTTTTACCTTATGGTCTAATGGTCATTGGAGCGAGGGGCGGGGCGAAACTCACGGAAGTGATTTCAAAACAAAAGCACTCGTTTGCTAAAATCACAAATCAACTGCTCTTCATTATTCCTGCTATATTTGACGAGTGATACAAATATGTTTTACCACAAGTTCTTAAGGAAACTGACACTGTTGGACTCGGTTCTAGTTTGACTTCTACCAGAAATAAAATACTTTTGCTGTGTAGCTACTTTGTGAGTAATCCTCTGTCAGAGTCCCCTCCTTAGTATATAATGCATGTTTTTCTGCTATCTTTGATGAGTGATACAAATATAATTTTACCATTAGTTCTTAATGAAATTGATACTGTTTGACTTTGTATTTGTTAACCTACTACTTACAATACGTTGAAGTACTTTTACTGTGTATTTTTTTTTTAAAACCTCTGTCAAANTATATAATGCATGTTTTCTGCTATCTTTGATGAGTGATACAAATATAATTTTACCATTAGTTCTTAATGAAATTGATACTGTTTGACTTTGTATTAGCCTACTTACAATACATTGAATTACTTTTACTGTGTATTGTTTGAGGAATACTCTGTCAAAGTCCTACTGAGAACAAAATCAACTAACTCTACAAACAAACTCTATTAAAGTTGATGTTTTACAATTGGCTGTGTCTAACATGTCTAAAATGAGCCAAATCCCCAGGAACATGTTAAACCAGACGGTAACTAAGACAGTAACACTCCATCCTGAACTCACTGTGGGGCCTGTCTTCATGGACCTGTAGCATAACACCCTGACACATACACAATACTAAGTATGTTCATTAAGAATGCACATACTGTCCCTCCTCTGTCTTTCAATGTAGTCAAACTTGTTGAAGAAAAACAATAAGTTAAACATTACAGAAATAAAAGCTTAATTACTCACCCTCTTAATTGTAAGTACAACTTGAAACATTTCTCCCGCTTGCTGCTGGGTGCAGGTGAAAGTAGGGCGACATTTCTGTTCACATCGCTGACATTTGTCACAGGCAAATCTTGTAGGTATCGCAACAAATATGATGTTGTCACACAGCGATAAGCTGGAAACTGGATTTACCAAATAACTACACACTCTTATGTACATTATACACGTTATTCAAAACCGACAGCCTGTGTGTTGTTTGCTAAACACTGCCATTGAAATACCACATTCAATTATCAAGCCCCTGCACCCAGAATGCACATTTTAAAAGCCATGTAACCAATTAGATCACTTAGAAACCTGAGCTTGAACACTTTGTTGTGCACAACAATGGAGGCCACTTTTGGAGAAAGAGTTAGAGGAAGAGGTAAATGCAATATACTGTATGTTGTCTTCAGTACCATACAGTAACTATGTTCTCATCCTCACTCTCAGTAAAGTCATTTTGTCTGATACTGTTATGGGTATTGAGAATAAACCTATTTGTGTGTTTCCACATTGCATGTGTTCATTTTCATAGTCCATATTTACAGCGTGCTACAAATGAAAATGCCTAAAACTTTGACTTGAATGTCTTGTTTATTAATCAACTAATGGACAGTGATTCAATTCAGTTCATGTAAGCCTCCCACACACATTCCTCTTTTGAGCGTCTAGTGATTATGGCCTGCATGTCTTTCTGTTGTAACTCAGCTGTCAGCTTCTTAGCAGTTTAGAAAACATCAAATTCATAATGTAGACTAGTTGGACAAAATAATGCTTAACAACTGTTCCATTACAGTGTGAACTGTTTTAGGGGTCGACTATATGATATATCGTTCATAAATGTATCCTCGTCAGACTTCTGGGTGGTTCCAGGCATATGAACATTTACAGTCATGATTCTCGTGTCTTTTATTTTGGGAAATATGTTCTTGTATTGATACTTTCTTTTGGTCCGACCGGACCTGCATGTCTCATTCGTTCAGTTGTACAAAAACGGAAACTTGAATGAAGTTGTTAAATAAAAAAACAAAACTCGGCCACCGTTTTATTTTAATAGGGTTACATATCACATAGTTGAGCCCCAGAAAGGATGGAATGTTATTATGGGGCTTTAAAATATAATAAACCGTTGTCTAAAAGGACAACCTTGTAGGGTATGATTTCACAACTATACAGCTGATTATACTGCAGCTCAACTGGGCGTGACCGACCGTCTCTTCATAGTTTTTTTTTTCAAAGTCAGCTGCTCTTCATTACTTCCTGCTATACTTGACGAGTGATACAAATAGTTGTGTCTTTACTACAAGTTCTTAAGGAAACATCCTGACATCTGTTCCGCACTCCGGCTTCTAGTTTGACTTCCTATACACACCAAGAAACTAAAATGAAGTAAGTTTGCTGTGTTGCTCCTTCTGTGAGTAATCCCTCTGCTCAGAGTTACCCTTCCATGTATAGGCTACTCAGAGGATCGGCAACCCCTCGAGCCCAGCCGTACCAACTGCGTGGCACGCGGTCACCAAACATATAGCGCCAGTGGCACACTAAGAATATAGTCGCCGAATAAGTGTCAAAAATATTTAAATTGTAGTTTTTCGGATCCTGAAATCGAGACCCGCGCCAGACGCGCGTCTCCCACTGTTACCTGCAGAAGGAAGCCATGCATATCCCAACGCAGCCACCTACTCTCTTTAACTTCCAGGTGACTTTTCTGCCGCTTTCATTCTCCGTGGTGCAGTCAGTGGACACCAGAGCCTGTTATAGATACTTGGCTAACTACTCAAGGGAAAAAACTTGAAGTGGTAATCCTGTTACAAATACCTTGGCTTGATGACTGTCCTCTCTTTAATGCATGTCAATAACCTGCTATAAAAAACTGATGGGCACGCGCTCCATGGTTTCCTTTTACAGAACAAGCTCCGTTTCCTCACTTGAGGCAGGAAAAGGCTCTGGACCTTTTTACCTGTGCTGGACTATGGTGAACCCCTGTTTTATATGAATGTTCACCCGCCCAATACCCTTGTCAACGTTAGTGCCGCCTATTCACAGTGCACCTGAGATTTGTGACAAACTTCGTAAAGCAATTACCCATCATTGTATCCTGTACTGCAAGGGCAGGCTTGGCTTCACGTAACTGTAGCGATCGACGGCCTCAATCACTGGTAATGTCTTTTTTACTTTACAAAGCAATGTAGGGGGCGATAAAGCTTCCATCCTACGCATCCTCTGCGGCCCTTGACCTCAAACGGGCGTAATTGTATACACTGGTCCTAA